CTTAATGTTTGATTAAAAGCCTTGGTAAAGATTCTACAGAGATGTGTGCGCAAAACGGGAACTAATATCAACAACAAAACAAGGCAAAAAAAGGCGAGAAACTGAAAACTGTTTCCACCCCTTACAAGTGACATAATTGAGTCACTAAAGCCTTATTCCGATAAACTTGTACTTGAAATCAGTGTACAGTAACTTTGACTTTTTTATTCCTCGGTCAGCTTTTTCATCCCAGAAACTAGGACTCGCCTGAAACTCACTCAGAATTATCAGTTTGTATTAAGCCATTCGTAAGGGTGCGTGCGTCACATATGCTTTCTATCTGCATAACTATAAGCACCCTGAGCTCTGTAAAGGAGTCAGTTACGGTTAGAACCGTATAACGCAGTTTCAAACATGACCAGAAATGTTAGGATTTGTGGGATCGAATCTCGTTGGTTTTTTCACGAAGGTTATTACACGAAAAATTTATCTAGAACGAAGCCCTAGATGATTTTCTTAATGTTTTACGTTTCCTATTTTGTCCTTCCTGTATTTTCTCTACTTTCGCAGTTTTCCTTTCCGTGTATTTTCTATTTTGCAAAAATTTAATTTTGTCCTTCACGTGTTTTCACTCATAAGCTCATTCTTTTTTAGTGTAAGCCTAGTGGAGTGAGGAGTGGGGTACAGACGGGAAATTTGAGAATCGATGAAGGTTTGCCGGCTGTGGCCTACAATCCGTCTTCAGTCGTCCCTTACTTTTAATGGCGGAGCTCGCAGATGCACGCGAGGCCAGCACTACCACGACCTCGAAGATGATAGGAGGGAAGGAGAGAAAGACCTTTCTCATTCCCATCTTCCTCCACGCGCATCTCACGCGCACTTCGATCGTTGATATTTATGAGTAGATAAACTACTGGGTAAAAGTTAGTTACAATCCAAAATCTGTTTATTGCGTCACCCTCCTGAGTACAAAAATTTGACAAATGTTGCGGTTTATCAATCTCATCTAGTCACATCTAGCATTTTTGAACATAATTTTTAGATTTTATGAGAAAATTGTTTTAGACAGAGGATATGATATTCTTAGCTATTCTTGCAACTGCATAAGGCAATTTTTATGCACTTGGATCCTGACTATTGCAATTTTTACTTGTAAATCCTCTCTCTTTTTCTTTCCTCAGTGCCCCAGTCATGCAGGTTAAGGTTGTGTGGATCAATTGAAATCAAAGACTTGCTGGATAGTTGTTGGCCAAATTTGAAAGTATTTATTTTGATTTTATTGCAAAATTCATAAATGATACACTTTTCAGACAAGTACCTACTAACTTTGCATAACAACTCCATGTGCAAAAAGTAATTTTCTTCTATTAAATTGTTAAAATATGGTCAAAGTTCATCATGTTCAGTTTCCGCAGGCTCATTGTCACTCTCAGTTTCATCGTCACTATCATCATACTCGTCATCATCACCAATGCATAAACCTGCCAAAAAATCAAGCATCATAACATAGCTGGTAAATTTGTCTAATCAAACTCAATTGCGCGAGTGTGCTTCATATTCCTATTGTGAACGCTCATGACATCAGCAAACAAATCCCTTGAGAAAAAAATTTTCCTTTGAGTTGAAAATGTTATAAAACAATTGGTTCATAAGTCAGCTGTACATTCATCAAGATATGAAGCACTGGGAAGTTTGGAGAGCACTCAAGAAGCTAGAGTTGCTCTTGCCTACACCTCGCACAACCCTTTCGCATCTTTCAAGCTCTTCAAACTTTCCGCGTACTATATATCTCAATGAACGTACACTGACATATGAACCAATTGTTAATTTTGACCTAGCCTTTACTAACAATTACTAGGATTACCTATTAATAATAAATCTGTAACTGTTCCTTACAAAAATAATGAATTGCAATGCCAGTTAAATTTATGGCACAATTGAATTGAAAACTGACCAAATTCATGAAATGACCACAGACAGAAGCAGCGTGAATGTGAAAAGAGAATAATAAAAGTCATATTGCTTACCAGTGGTTGTGCGGCACATATATTTCTTTGGATCCTTGCGCTCTTTCTTGAAGGATGCTATAATATCATCATCATAGTCCTCTATAATACTCTCACACTGGAAAAGAAATCATATAGACTACATATCATTCTGTTTCATATGCACAATCAAAAGAGCTATTAATTGTAGAAAAAAATACATGTATAATGTGAGCTGATACATAAAGAAGCTCAATCCAAGTGGTCCATCCAGCTGGAGCTTATTGTGGTTTCCATATCATGAAGGTCCTGGGTTGTGAGAAGCAGTGTAAAGAGTACAACACAATGACCCATCCAAACCTGCACCTCTTAACCCAGAGTCCAATATGCTGACCATGAGGCAACCACATCTCCCACAATAAATTAAAAAAAAGATGGTAAATATCATGCTGTATCATACATAATGAAAGGTGTTATTCACCTTGTCAAGAGCAGAAGACAAAGGGGAATTTTGAGTCCCTTACCAAGATTAACACCACAGACTTTTGGATTCCCCACTCTAATGCTCAATCACTGAGCTACAGAGAACCCCATGATAGACCAGGCTATTGCCAGGTTTATATGTAACACACCCAGCAAACTGCAAGGATCAATCCATTTATTATTTGACCCAAACTGCCTTGTGCATATTTTTATTGAAAAACTATAGTAGACAAAAAGCCTTGGTATTCTAGCCTAGAGTGAAGTATCCACTGCATGTAGCATGGGAAAGATCTGGTTGGCAGAACTAGGTCATTCAGCAGGCATTTGTGTAAGTTTAATTGTCCATGCTTTGTCACAAGGTACTAAAAACAGGTGTAACTTACTGCATGTTTGAGCTTCTGAGCTATGTCACCACTGATTGCCACATTACTGAGTGTGACTGCCTCACCAGATCGTGACGAGGTTCTGATGTATGATTTCTTTCCAGTGTTGGGATCTGTCGACTCAGCATATGAATTCATTTTTTCACACATATTATCAAGCTGTTCTATCAGATGAGTCTCTGATCTTGCATATTGAATCTGGATAGTTAAAAATACACATATATTCCATGAGATATATGTGGCTCACATTAGCCTGTCCCAGGAATATCAGTTGTAACTTTGGCACAAGTGGAAGTAAATTGAAAAAAATATATTTCTTGTTGCACTGCACAAAAATCCATTTTCCCCATCTTACAATGTTCCACATTTAGGCCATAAAGGTCTTGAACAAGCTAGGGTTATCAGCTAGTGGGATTTCAAACTAGCATACCCTGTTATATAAAGTCAGCAGTACATGATAAAAAAAAAATTTTGAACTTTACCTTTTTGGTATTTTGGTTACCTCTTGGATCCACTCTGAAACTCTCCACCTAGAATCATTCAGATGATAATAGTCTGTGATTTATCCCAAAAAACATGCCAGGCACTGTAAAAAGTTTCTCATATACAGTGTATTCAACCATAATTCCAAAAAGATGGCAGTAATATCATAGGTGTCTGCATGCATATGGGTTGAAATTTATCATTCTTGAATTTCAAAATAAAATAAATACCCTCTAGCTTCATTTTTTAGAAAATGATTCAAAACCCTACCTCTAAAGTCTTTCTGGGATCAACTTGAGAAATTTCCCACTGAAGCTCATCCGCAATGACATGGCATACTATCAGAAGAAATGTTGATAACAATATGTCATTTAATCCTCTTAAACAAAAGTAACTGTAACCCTTTAACTCCCATAAGTGACCAAGACAGAATTTCTCCTTATAATACCAATACAATATCAAGCAGACAAGTGATAAGAATAAAGAAAAATATTAATTAGGAGATTATTATTTGATCCAATACCAAATTCTCCAAACTAAGATCACAAGAACTGTATAGCAGACAGTAAGGAGAATTACTAATGAGGCCTTGGGAGTTAAAAGGTTAAGAAGAAATTTGGAACCTAACAATTTGCTTTGCCAGCAGACACTAAGGTACATGTCAATAATTAGAGAAAGACTTAAACTAATGTAAGATCTTTTCAGCTACATTTTCTGTATCACAGCATTCTTAGTGACAAGGAGCCTTGCCTTAAGAAGTGATCAATTCAAAACTTCTCCTTACCATAACAACACACTGTCTAGCAGATAGGTAAAGTGAATGGTAAAGTTTCTGCACAGCCCCAAACTATTGTAAAACAAATCTGTTTTCCCAGTGGAAATGTATTGTTTTTGTCATTGTTTTCTCTGTTCAAGAACTGAATGCATAATGTAGGATGGGGCTGTGTGGAAACTTTACCAAGTGAATTATGTGTATTAAACATGGGAAATATCTCTAAGATGTAACAAACAATTCTCATAACTAACTAAAAGTTAACATATAGTCATGAGTTGGGAGAGTTGATGCTCTGATCTAGAAGATAAAGGGATACATTTTCTGAAACTTACCACCACAGTATAGCTCTTTATCCTTAGCACCGAGTGCTTCATTCACAAAAGTTGTCACAAAAAGTACTACAAGACAAAGTTGAGTTGCAGATTCCATATCCAGCTGTTCAAATTAAATAAGAAGGAAAACTTGTAAAATTGTTTTAACTTAAAAATATGTCTTGGGCGTTGATCAACGAGCAGTTTCAATTTTCAGAAACCTTGGAAGTGACATCAATGAAATTGAAAAGGAATTACCGGTAATGGAAGTTCTAAATGGCAAACAATTTTAATGATTTTCCTCTCAACTACAAGAAAACCTAGGCGTAAATCGATCATCAATGAACACGTAGAATTCCCACCATTGTAAATATGAAAATTAAATATCACGAGTTAAAACTGAATCACACAAACCTCAAAAGAAATCCTATGATCCTATGTCGATGATCGAAAAGACGAAGTCGAAAACTGAAACTTTACATCGAAAGATCAAACTGAAAAATTCTCCTGAAAGAAATACACCTATTCACCTGGTCCCTTTTCACACCGACAATGGCTATAACCGCTGACTAGTCTTTCGCATTGTGTTCTGGGACAGCATTTCCTCTGCTTCACCGGCTAGAATTTGGAGGGAAGTCAAAATGTAGCAAGGAATTATACCTATTTTTTTTTTTAATCCTAAAAATAAGGCGTAAAAAGGAACATTTACTTTGTAATTAACTATGGCACCACCAAAATCAAGGAAGATCGTCATCATGGGCTTTCGCTCTGTTGGTAAATTTTGTAGATGTGAAACGTGACTTTTGTTTTGCTAGAAACCTCTTCCCGGTTTATGATTTTCTCTCGATTTACATGGCCGTTGTTCACTTTTCAGGGAAATCTTCGATCACAATCCAGTTAGTGGAAGGGCAATTCGTGGATTCCTATGATCCAACAATTGAGAATAGTGAGTATGGTTCATTCATCTGTGTCTCAAAACGACCTTTAATATTCTTACAATCGAACGAGCTAAAGCAGGTTTCGCTTGAGTTGAACCATTCCTTTTATTTATTTTCTTTTGAAAGCTTTTACAACGAAAGTAAAGCATAACAGTCAAGAATACGTGTTGGAGCTTGTCGACACGGCAGGCCAGGTAAATGTTATTGATAAAGCACTCTTGATTTCTCGTTGTTTTAGAGACAGTTATCCATTTGTTTTTTTTTTCATGTAAATCATGTGTACATCCAGCTATGCACGTATCATGCTTCCGTTTTTCCACAGGGTATAAATGTACCGTTAAAAGTTGTGAATATACGGTCTGCAGCTAATTAAAACCTAGCAACATAAATATCTAATATTTAGCTCGGCATCTTTCGCTTTCACGTTAAATTTTTAGCTAAGATTTTACATAATTTTGACTTTAAGTAGTTATTTATAGAGTTAGTAACCTTTCTGAAAATAAAAATATATTTATAGTTAAATATGTTTAGCTTGTGATAATGGCATGGTGCATTGGGTACTTAACCTCTGCCATTTCTCTCGAGTAAAACTCGACGGGGAAGAAAAAATGCCTGAAATTCGCGGCCAATCATTGGGAATTGTACTGATTCAAAATTACTACTCAAGAAAGTCAATCATGTATTACGAAGATCTAGAAACTTCGAGGACTTTTTTTTATACAACTTTCTTTTTCCAGAGTCACTTATTATATATTATTTAATTAAGACATGTATGTTAAAAGCTTAAGGATGACTGTTGGTGTTTATCCTGTTATGAACTTAAAAAAATTTAGTGGCAAAAAATTGTTCAAAAAATTGATAATTTGTCAGCATTAATTGCAGAATTTTATTAGTATCATGTTACACCATTTTTCGAGGAGACAAACAGACCACTCCTCTATCTTGTTTTTGAACAAAATTTGAGAAAAACAGGAGTATAATATTACAACTTATTCTGTAGAGTTACACATGTATAGTGAAATTCAAGATGAGCAAAAAAAATGATAGTTCTATTTTGTGATGTGAAAAAGCTTGGAAAGGACCAGACACATTAATTTGAAGAACAGATGACCATTTTTATTTATGATTTATCTTCAAATTGGAGCGATGATTGCAGTATTGCATAGTTGACATTCACTAATGGTTTATAACAATTAATTTAAATTTTTGTTTTCACTCTTGATTGATTCAGGTGATTTATGTCAATTCTGTTTAAATTGTTCTCTTATATATATGCTTACCATAATTAATTAACTCTTTCTGTTGCTCTTGAGCAACCACCTTCCAGTTCTGGCAGCCAAATTAAGATTTAAGGTCACAGATGGCAACTTTGAAAATGGTTTATATAAAAGCATTGCAGTTAGCCAACCATGCAATTGAATCTCTAAGTGTTATAATCTGAATTTGAAATTTTTCTGCTTTAGTTTTTTCATTTGTGCTGGAAGTGCTTCAATATATGACATATATTTATCTATCTTGTCTCCAGGATGAGTATTCTATTTTCCCTCAGTCCTACTCAGTTGGAATTCATGGTTACGTGCTTGTATATGCTGTAACATCACCAAAAAGGTAGGTTTATGAAAGGAACCTTCAAAGAGAATAAATGAAACAGATATAGACAACATTAATAAATGATTTTTGTAGGGGAACTAAAATAAAGCTAATTCTTTCGTAGTACTAGCTTCAGCCTTTCTTTCCCAAGTGCTATTAATGAGACTGGCGGTTGAATTTACCATAAGGTCAAATTTCATGGTTTTTTATTATGCAATTCTTTTTCCTTCCAGTTTTGAAGTTGTCAAGGTTATTCATGAAAAGCTACTGGATATGTCAGGCCAAGATTAGTAAGTAAAAATTGCAAAACAACTTAAATTCATTTGATTTTACTTTCTGTAATGTGTTAAAGGTAACTAAAGGTTTGCTTGATGGGGTTTTGATTGATCCTGATCATGGTGCACCTAATTGTGTTAACCCTTAAATCCTTAAGAGTGACCAACATCTCATTTCTCCTTAGACTATCACCTCTAGATAAAACATTAGGGTTGTGTGAATTAAGTAAATGATCACCAACTAAAGAGACTCTTGGTTTTTCAACCAACATCTTTGTCAGTATCATAAGAAATGTGTAGAAAACAGAATGGAGAATGTGCATACTGATGTTAAGGAGTAAAGAGGTAAGAGGTTAAGCAGCAAGGGTGTCAGGGAAGCCTGGAAAAATACTTGGGACTCATCTGCAATGGACTTGCATCCTATCTACTAGTGGTAGCACCAATACACCACCCGCTCAGGGAGTGTGGTGCACATGACTGGCACACAAGGCTGTCGATATCTACACATGGGCTTCCCTATCGTGTTAGAAATGCAAGATTAAATGAACCCTCAAACATAATTGCACAGATTGAATCAAAAACTCACTTTTGTGTACTTCTTTTTATTTCTTCCTAGTGTGCCAATGGTCCTTGTTGGAAACAAAACTGATTTACATATGGAAAGGTACAAATACATTTACAACTTGGATTTTAGGCTTGAGATTGTGCTAAACAGCAAAGCATAAAATCTTCCTGAAAGAATGAAAAGCCATTGAATGTTTTGTTAAATGCAGGGCCCAGATGTTTGACTTGGGCTAGCCCAGGGTTAAATTTTAATCCAGGTTTCTATATTTCTCTGTTCAAAATCTGTTTTGGGTTAATTTTCCTATTTCTTTTTAGAGCATTCAATTATCAAATTGTAGACAAATGGAATCAAACTGAATATTCTTTTAGAGCTTTCAGATCTGAAATCAAATTTCATGCTAACCCAAGGTTATCTTAATCCAGCTTTGAACAACCTGGCCCTGATGTTCAAAACAGAATTTCAGACCAAACTGTTTTTAAAGTGTTTTTTAAACTAAACTTCTGTCCACTTTGAACTGAATTTTAGACCAAAGTGTTTTTAAACTAAACTTCTGTCCATGTTTTAGAAAAGTCCCAACTGAAAATGGAAAATCCCTTGCTGATTCCTGGAAGGCAGCTTTCTTTGAATCATCAGCTAAGGAAAACAGTGTAAGTGAAAGCCTCTAAACCTTACAATGGTTTCATATAAGTTTTGGAATTGTATACTATGCAAGGTGGAACACTTAGTAATATTTCAAGCAGTAGACTTGGAATCAAATTGTCCGGGTTGAAGCCAAACCAACTTGGTTATGTTCTGGTGTCAGAGAGTGAAGTCAAGATGTTTGCTTTCAAAACTGTCAGGCTTTACATGTCTTTTCCATAATGCAGGAAAAAAAACCTTTTGGAATTACAAAGGGTCAGTTGTCTGTGGTGGTCTTCTTTGTCATTACCAGTTGTATACTGTAATTTGCAATACTCCCAGTGAATATAAGTTATAATATGGTTTTAAAATCTGGCAGGGCAGGCCTATTACTGGTAGTTTGCACACAGACTTTCAGTACTGTCTAGTAACTATTGACATTTAACTGTAGCTTCTTTTCTTACTTCACAGAGTGTCCATGAAATTTTCCGGATGGTCATTCGGGAAATAGAAAAGCATGACAAAGATGGGAATGTAGACAAGAAAGAGGATTGTACCATTTTATGACCACCGTCCCCACCCATACAGCAAGCTACCATGGAACCTAAATTATATTTTATGATATGAAAACTTTTCCTTTCTACTCTACTCTATGCTGATCTAAGAAATTTATTTTCCCCTGTAGAACTGATTTTAATGAAATCTCTCCTAAATGATGAATATGATTTGTATCACCTGGGGCTATAAGAGTTAGTGAATGTGCATTGTAAATTTCTGGTTTCAGAATCTTCTACATCCCAGTTTAAAGTCATGTAAGCCCTCTGTGTGTTTTAAGAGTGGCAGTGTCTTGTTTTTTCTTGTTTCTTTCATTTGGCTTTTGCTGTTATCCTGGTAGCAGTGTTTAATGAACTCATTTCTAATTGTTAGATATAAAAGCATTTGCCTGTTCTTTTCTTTGGTTACCTAGTGAATGCCTTTGCATTTTTCTCGATTCTTTCTAAATACAACAATTATAATAACAATGGATGAGGAGTGTACTTCAGATCAGGACAATATATTTTTAACAACAATTACTTTAATATATGGCTGAACCTTGTTCAAAGAGATTGTGCAGTAGTTTAAATGCGCATTTGCAAAATTTCATAGTTAAAACTGTGATTTCTTTTTGTGTGTGTGTGTGTATCAGGTCTGATCACAAAAGATGATTGTGTGTGTTTTTAACATTCTTTGATGGTCTGGTAGATTTGTCATGAATAATTGTCAAATCACATATACTCTATGCTGTTTAGGCTCACTGATTTTTAAACTTTTGTACATGCACCAAAGCTAACTACAAACTTTAGGCCTGAGTTGTGCAAAGCTATCAGCCACCATCTTTGGAAAGGAACCTGTGTTTCTCCCCTCTAAGTGTACAGCTACTCTTCTTGGGGAGGATAGCAAACTCCACCCTAAAGAACAGGTGCACTTAGGCCCATTGCAACCCAGGATTAGGGTAACATAGTTTAGGAACCACATAGTCCTCAATGTTTAATACCTTATTGACAAGTTGTAATGTGGTGTGTGATCTTTGGTGCATAGGTTTGAGCAAAAAATTGTCAAAAATAATAGTTTCTTGCAAATGGTAAAAGGGAAGTAGTGTACCTACTCTGTAGCATATATAGCATGTGCAAATTATGAGGGTAAATTGTTAAAATTGTTTGTTTCTTCAAATTTCATGTAGGGGGCAAATATACAAAAATGATTTTTAATTAGTAAAATTGCTTCTTTGTAATTATGCCTAAAATGTAATGCACTCATTCATTTGATTCATTCATAATTTTTCTTGTCAAAATCAGTGTTTTAAAGCTGTAAAACATTTGTTTGGTGGATTTACCTGATGTTAATTGGACCTTGATCAAGGTCCAAAAATGTCACCCTGAAGCACAGTTGTAGTGTTTTTTTTTCTTAGTTATTTCAGACCTAATTGTTTTAAAAGTTATGTTAGAAAATAAAATTTAACAGTATTATTGTGCTTGTTCTTGTCATCATCTCACTTGTTTGAACTCTGTTTAATTTTTGTAAAAATAAATGGTTGTTGATGTGTTAAAATTTCATTTTAGAAATTTTGGGCGGACTATTTGAGGATTTTAAAGAGATTTGTGGGGGTGGGGGGGGGGCAGCAGCCTTTAGGATTCGTGTCAACCTCTCTTTGTTGCGAAAAGTTGATTTGTTTCCATGCGATCAAACAAATTGGCTCGTGAGTTGGGTGGAAAGCCATTTCCCTTAGCTGCAACCAATTGAAAATACCTGTGCAACCCTCTTTTAACAGGACAAACGTTCAAAACTTACCAACCGCAATAAGGGAGTATGTTGTGGTGAAGTGAGGCCTGATGACTCAAGAGCAGGGATGAAGGGTGAACAGAAGGGATGCGGTGCTGCCTTGAATATTTTTGAAAAACTTGTGCATAACATAACGGTCTGTCATGGCAGCTTCTTTAACAAGAAAGATTGTGTCATGCGATCACAAAGCTAGTAAGGCTGTGTTCAGTTTTGAACACTTAACAAAACTGCGAAGGCTTGCGTTTTTCGCTTTGTGCTATATGGGTTAACGTATTACGTGTATGGATTGGTAACAGTTATTTCCTGATAAGTGTCAAAATTTCAAAATTCTCGATTTTACAATTGGTTCATACTTCAGCGTGCGTTCATCGAGATATGAAGCACGCGGGAAGTTTGGAGAGCACGAAAGATGCGTAAGAGTTGCTTGAGGCGTAGCCGAGAGCAACTTTAGCTTCTTGAGTTCTCTCCAAACTTCCCGCGTGCTTCATATCTCGATGAACGCACAGCTGACGTATGAACCAATTGTTTTTATAACATCCTGATGGAAATTTTTTTTTCTCGAGGGATTGTTTGCTGATGTTATGAGCGTGCAGAATAGGAATAATATATAGATTTAGCCAAGCCTAAAAGCGGAGCTCGCATTTTTTTCTTCCCTCACGTCTCAATGGCACAACGCCTTGCCCCGGCCAGGACTAGAACAAAAAAGTGGCACACGAGGCGCAGCCGAGTGCGTCACTGATGTTCTTACCACATTTTGACGTCCTCTGTAATCTATTACTGAACAGACGCATGGCAACTTGGAACACTATTTGTTTTATATAATAAAGAATTAGAAAAAGTTTTAATGATAACGTCATCTATACATCTGTCCTCCAATAGATCATAAGTGAGAACCAATCAGAATGCGTGCATAACTGAACTTATTATATAAACTCTCATAGAGCACGCTCTTTCAACCAATGACAGCGCGCGTTATATCCGAACTTTATTAGAATATAAATTCAAGTGATCATTCCTAGCAAACGTCAACATTCCCTCTGGCTGCTTGAAAACCGAGAGGTCCCTGGGTTCGATGTTGGCCAGTTGCCTTCGAGAAAACAAAATGGCGGAAGGTAGGTGAAAGAAACTTGCACTTTCTTCTTAAATGAACCGCTCCTGTTTGAAATCCAGCTTCGCATTTCACCAAATATATGTATGGATGTTGGTTATGGGAGTGTTCTAATTTCTTAAATTGGTTAAGAACACGAACTCCTTGCTATACTTATGCACGTGCTTGTCGCTGTAGTAAAACTAGTTACAGTAGCTTTCAGATAAGTTTGCAGTTTTGTCTTCACTGTATTCTTTTAGTTGCGGTTAAAACAAAGAATGAGGATGCAAGTGTAGGGGTAAAAGCGGAATCCAAAGCAGAGCCTCGTCGCAAACTTTGTGCTTACTCACAACGAGTTTGCAACTTGGAAATACTGAAAGGTTTTGACTTCTGCCACAAGCATATTTTGGAAGATAAAGCAAGTCCTTTTAAACCATGTGATTTCGTAGCAAAGTCAAATGGTAGAAGATGTCCTAACCCGGCACAGAAGTTGCCGCACGGAAAAAGGTATCTAGATATGTACATTAATTTACATTTTAAAAGAAATACAGAATGTTATCGAAGGCCTTGACTAGGTAAATAAATACTTTATGAGCACACGTCTATGCTAATATCAGAAATACTGAATCGCTCTATGATATTTTAATTGATTGGCTTTAGCCAACTTAATTTTAACTTTGTTGAAAGACACAGAAAATACTTAATTTTTATCATGAAATTGCAGCTTTTGCATTATTCACACACGCAAGGCAGAGCTACGTAGAGCGGTGGAAGAGAGGAGAAAGAGGAGGAACATAGGTGATAATGAAGGAAGTTATGAGGATGATAAAGGGAAAAGAAGGAGAACTTCAAGCTCAAATTCACAAAAGAGTGATAAACAAGAGGGCCATTCTTCAGGTTAGGAAAAAAAAATGATGGAGTAAGGGAAACTTGAAATTAGATTAAACTGTGGCCAAGGTTATCATGAAGAACAGCTCTTCTCCATTGACTGCCACTGAACTGAGAAAATTCTTGATTAAACGCCCTCAGGGGTTTCAAAATGTGTTAAAGTAGACATCAGACTCTGCAAAAGTAAGTGACTGTGAAAAGTTCATTAACCCTTTAACTTCTGGAAGTGATAAACATGTAACTTCTCCCTATAATATCCATACATTATCCAACAAGCAGGTAATGAGAATACTCAAAGTTATAAGGTAGAAGTTGTATCTCGATCTTACTCCAAATTCTTGTAACTAATCTACAAGGAAACATGTAGCAGCCAGAAGGGAGAATTAACAATCAGACCTTGGGAGTGAAAGGGTTAAGGGCCAACAGGTAATTATTTTGACTAGGGTAATTGGTGACATGTTATCAAGTTGCCGACAGAACTCTGGCAGTTGCCAGCTTGTTTTGATCCCATGGCTGCCACCATGGTTCAAAGTGGATTATTGTCAAAGCAAGAACACATGGTACATGAACATGCTTTATTCTGAGACAAGACCAAAAGTACATCATGGGTAATGTGTCAATGAAATCTTGTAGTTACCTCAACAGATAACCTATGATTTGGGAACAGATGACCTCCTTTTTTAACCTTGTCACTCTCAATATCTGAATACAATTTCTCCTGACTGTCTCTAATACATTTCTTATAAACTAAGTGCAGAGAATTTAAGGTTAAATCAAAGAATATCCTATGCTATCTTACATGTAGTTAGTGCTCTTCATACTTCTCCCCCTCTGCTTTACAATGTACTTATAATACAAGGGGAAGTTACTTACTGGTTATTGCTAGGAGTGTAAGGGTTTTTAAAAATATTACCTATACTACAGCCAATCTATCAATGTTTGATATCATTCATGGAGTCTGTGTTCATTATGTCTTGAAGATGAAGATGGTGGTAATAGTGGAGATGATTATCTTAAGGTGGACAGTGCATGGCATGGTGATATTGATAGCGATGCTGAATCTGTTGATAGTGAAGAGGAAGACCCACTGAAGTGAGTATACGTTTCAAAGGAGCCAATGTCACCAAGTTTTAATTTGGTTTATTTCAACTGAGTTGATAACATAAACTGGCCACCATAAAAGAGTTTCTAATCTGACTTTTTGAGCTTTTGTCTTTTGTTCTAAAGCAACAGCTGAGTTGAACCTCTTTATGGTGGCAAATTTACATTATCAACCCAGGGTCCAGCTGTTCAGAGGTTGATTACTGCAAACCCAGGATCAAATCTAAATCCGAGTTTCTTTATTTCTTTGATAAAATGCGTTTTTTAGACAATTTTCTCTTTTCTTGTTAGAGCATGCAATGATCAAATTTTGGACAAAGAAAATTAGACTGGATTTTCTTTTAAAGCTTTCAGATCTGAAACCCTGGATTATCTTAACCCAGCTTTGAACAACCAGGCCCAGTTGATTAAACCAAGTTGTCTTGTAATACTCCCTGTGATGCAACATCACAGTTTCTCAAGAAACTCACCCCCTTTACTTACCAAACTTTAGGCTGATACAAATACTTAAAATAATTGCTGTGGAAAATCTCTTGAAAAGGCATTTCTGAGCAAAATGGCAGAATTTCTTAAATATTTGGGTTTCCCTGGTCAAACCTATGAGTAATGTTGACAGATAACAGACTACTTAATGTGCTTTAAATTAAAGAAACACATGTTATGGCATCATGGTTCGGAGTATAAGGATGAAGCCTCTATGGTTATTTTAGGCATGCTGGGGTTTGGTCAGTGGAAGAAGCTACCAGGATGTGTCGTGATAAGATGATCAGACTGCGCTCACTGTACATTACACAGTTCAAGAGGTTACAACACGTGCTGAGGGAGAGAAGGAGAAAATATTGTCAAGCTATTCAAGCAGAGGAAATTGAAGATACAGGTTATCAAACAACGGCCCACTCTGTTTTTTTAAGGTCATCAAAATGCCACACATCCCTGTTAAATTTCAAAGTGGCCAGTATTCTTTCTGGGGTATTGTTTGTTGAATAGCATCCTTGTTTTGTTTTGTTTTTCTTACTTTTCAGTTTCCTTTTTTGTTGGATTTCTCCCTTGACTTTGAGTTATTCAATCACTTTCAATGTGATCAGTCATGTTGACTAGAGAAAACCCTCTTATTTTCACCCCTGAAGCTCTTGAATGTTGAACAAATTCTTCTTGTTAGTGCTATAGGAACTGGTTATAGAACAGAAAGGAGAGTATGTGTGCTGATGCCAGGTTGTAATGGGTTTAAATGACAACTATGTTTTCTGTGATGCTAGGAGAGTGCAATTTGACCCGCACACAACTGCTTGGTCGGAAATCTCGTCATGATTGTCCTGGTACTGAAGCCCTCTTGCATCGGCAAGCAAAAGAGAAAAAACAAGGGGCAAACACTCGGCAACAAGGAGTGTCCAATCTACGCTGCACATATTCTCCAGGAGGAAATAGATGCACTGAAAAAGTTTTGCCTCTTACAAAACACTGTATGAAACGTATCCTTTAATGTCTAGATGGTAACAAGATGGCTGTAAAAGTTTGTACCAGGGTCTTACATGAAATGTGATATGAATGATGAAAGGCCAGAATTTGCAATATTGAGGTTTGTGTTTGTGTATAAAGTTTGAAATTCCTCAAACTCCTCTACATCGTCTTCACTGTGGCACAATACGTGTGAGTTAATATCTAAAGCAGCATGCAGAACTGCCTCCTTGCTGCTTTGTTTTGAATCCTTAACACACTTTCATTACAGACATTACTCATGACCCTAACCAGCACCTTTTTCAAAGGTGCACATTTCCATCCAAAGGTGAAACACATTGTGATAGGAATGTTGCAAAGATCTTCACCCATTCAACATGCAGACTGCACATGGAGCTACCTGCAAATATGAAGAGGCCAAGTGTGGAAAAGGACCTACAGAATGCCAAGGAAAGAGCCAAGTGAGACAACATTGCATGTTAACTTTATAAATTTAACAAAAAAAAAATTACCTTCTTGGCAAATTTCAACAAAACCAAACCACTGGTACATTCGAATCTTCTTGTTGGCTAGTGTAGGTATTAACTTTGTCAGAGGTGCTGGCACATAAATTTATTTTGTCAATCAGTACTTGTGGAAAATGCAAAATAAAAGCTTAATTTTTTTTCTATTTTTTTAAATTTAAGTTTAAGGAAAGCCAGAACATCTGGTAGCAAACAAAGTGTAACAGGAGTACCAGAGGCTTTACAGCAGAAATCCATTGTGCTTTTGCCTCCAATTACCACTGGTGAGTCATTTCAGGCACAACCCACCACCACTGGAGTGCAGCAGCATGCCATGACAGCCCCCTTGTCCACTAAGGGTACTACATTAGACACCACAGAGAAAATGGAAGTAGATTCAAGTGACACAAAGGCTGACCTTGACAATAAGGAGTTGTCAGCAATCTCTGTAGATAAAGAAACATCCTCAGTTAGCTCAGCAGGGGCTTCAGTGCAACCCAAGCTTAGCCCTGTGTCGGAGAGTATATCTCCTGGTCTTGCAGCTGCTAGCCTTGTGGCTGTTTGTAGCAGCCCACAGCTACCTCTGCAGGGAACACCCGTAGCAAGTGTCAGTGGTGTAAAACAGGCTGCAGTCACAGATTCCAAGGTAGTGCCATGCAGTGATGTTAAAGACAAAGGTGTCAGTAGTGCCTCTGCTGATAATAGCAAGGTTGATGCTGATCCTAAAGTATTAGAGTTAAAAGAAAGAGAGGAATCAGGCGATACTGAAAAGGCAGAGAAACAAGAGAGTAGCCTTGTGAAATCAAAAGACACGTCTGATCCTGATAAATCGGCATCCGTCCAGCCAGGACATTCAGAATCTGCTGAAAAGCAACCTGACGAATCCCAACTCAAATTGAATGTGGCTCAAACCAAAGAGGAAGCCAAAGTAACAACTTCTACAGTTTGTACTTCACCAGCTGTCTCTCAAACTGTGCTCCAGCTGACCACCCTAGTTTCTCCTTCACAAAGTGCACCCAGCACTTCCTCCAGCAGCACGTCACAAAATGTGACAAAAACCAAGTCCGCGGAGCCCTCTGAGGCCATCCCCTCCCGGGGTACCTCAAAGAGTGCCTCTGGGGGTCCCTCACCTGGTGTTCCTCTTGAGCCCCCTAAAGGCACGTCCTCGTGTACTTCCACTGCCGTCTCTACTGTTGCAAAACAAGCACCATCAGTAACATCTGCAAGTTCAATTCATCTACCCCAATCGAATCCAAGTTCCTTGGCAGGACAGCCATTGAAAACAGTCGGTGTCAAACCCTCGATTACAAGTGAGCCACACCGCTCAGCTGCTGTGAAATCCTTCCAACACTTGCCGGCGGGAATGACTGCCGCAAGCTCCAAGCAGTTTAGTGCAATCACTTCTGTTACCACTAAGGAGACGAACAAAGATGCTAATAAAGTAGACACGGGCAAGTCCCAAGAACAGAGTGGTTCATCTAAACCATTACCGATGTAACAATGATAGATTATCTTTGGTTTGTTATAGATGTCAAGTTTACGTTGTGGATTAAAACTAATGGTCTATGACAAAGTTTCAGAGCGCTTTGTAAGCAGTGTTATGTTCTTTTGGTTAAATTTGAGTTTCATGTACACGGAAAACTTACCTTGGTGTAAAATTTTAAGCAAAGGTCAAATGTTACGATTGAGATCTCATTACGTTAGTCAATAAAATTGTGTTCTTTGAGGGTCCAATGTGTTTTTGAGGCTCTTGATGAACCAAGGCTGTATAAACCCGCGCCATCCCGAGTAGGCGTACGTAGTTCCGTTACAGGCACTTCACCCTTAAATTCCCGAGATCTGATAGGCAATTCTCCCCTTCAGCTACTGCATATTTCCTTTTAAATTAGTTACAAGAATCACTTTAGTGTTAGATCAAGACAGCAACTTCTAATTGATATGTTTCGAGTATCCTCATTACCTGTTTGCTGGATATTGTATGGATATTGTTAATCAATTCTGGGAGTTTAAGGGTTAACCTATAACATTCCTGGTGTAGCAACTGATAAGAGGGCTTCGTTGCCTACGATACGTACTCAGGAATTGCAAAAAGGTTGGAGTTCGTCGTAGAGTTAAATACGTGAGATATCCTCAAGTAACTGTGTAACCATTGAAACATGTGCGCAATAATTTAGATTCCCAACAGGTATCCAACTGTTCAAAATTGCCTTCGACTGTTTTCATGTTTACAACATCCTAGTGCACAAGTGGCGGACCTTTTTGAAACGTGAGATGAGGGTGCGTGCGCGCGCCCGCCTGCGCGGGAGGAGATGGGGGGAGCTCACAATACACCAAATCAAGAACGTTCATTAACTCAAGCTTTCATTCAACTCAATTTCTTTCACATAAGCCTTTGGTACAAGCAAACTTTGCAATCTTTACAGGGTCCACTGTGTCCGTAATCTATTTGTGCCAATGCATAACTAGGCCGTTGTTCAAAAAAATATATATATATACAAAATGCCCTACGATACAATACTATACCAAACGAGATCCTGATGAAGAGATTTAAGTGAAGGTAACAAAGCAAAATATTCCATTTGGCCGATTTTGTGTCGCGCAAACAGAATTCTGTTCATACGGAAGAAAAAGTTCTATTATTCTTAGAAGTAAAGGTTGTTTGCTACATTCTAAAGAAAATTTAGTGTTTCCCAGTTATTACAAAACACAAAATCCTTACAGATGAACCCAACCGATGAACTCGACAAGTCTGTTTATAGTTAGCTAATTTCAGGAGGAGCTTTGTGACATTCTTTGCGTCAAAGGAAATTGTATTTGATTATAATAAGCCTTAAAAATAAACGTTCGCCTTTAGGGGATGGAAATGTACCAAGATGAAACGAAACAAATTCGGGAAAGCAAGAACACCACAGATTGCACAATAATCACCGTGAAATTTGACAACTTAAGGCCAAGTTTTGGAAGACGTACAAACACAGACAGAGCTCCGTTGACACTTTCACGATACAAATATCGATTGTGCACACTGTCTTCCAAACGTTTCTTCACCTCAGTTCTCAGAATTTAAAGTTATCAAACGGTCACCTTTCTACTTGAAAATCCATTCATGTTGTAAGAAGAAATCCCTTCCTGGTCACCCCTCGGAGTGAAAGAGCTCATGCCCCCCTTATTAATCTGAAACTACATCAACATCTGTTCGCGTCTGATAAGACGAAATATTTCTGAAAAAAATTTTACTGCTTCCCATCTAACTGTTGCTATACATAAAAATAATTATTACCATATGATAAATAAATAAATGAAATATAATGAACATTACCTGTACCACAGCAGAGAAAAATTCACTTTCCTCTTAATTCGTCTAAAGAGACTCGAGAACACGAATCTCTTTAGATGGACAAATTTCGATATATAATTTTATTTCTTCTATGGGTCCTTGGTTTCTTTAAAAGTTTTGCTTTCCCCGCAAATTGTCGTAGAACCAATGTATTACTAGGGCGGTTATTGAACCTCCAGACTGTAAATACGCGTCGTAACCTGGACCTAGAAGACTTCGTCTAAATGAAAAGCCGTGTAGCGCAATTAACTGCGTCTTAACATAATAGACTGCTTCCTGAATTAATAGCGTCCCAGCGCAAGACTGCGCCTGAACTCAATACACTGGGCCGGAACCCTAACTACGTCTGAAGTCATCCGATTTCCATGGTTTGATGCGTGTGGTGAACTCATACATCTACAAAGTGTTCATATGACGTTTCCATCTCTTGCACATGTAATCGAAGCTATGCGTGAGCCACTGCTCTTCAAGTCTATTAAAACGATCCTGACTCAAAAACAGAGGTTTCCCTCGCCTGTCGAAGAGATTAAATAATGGTAAACGAGACATTTCACACACTGAGAAGGAGAAGGATGTAGTAGTGAGGAAAGTATTTCTCTCCCCTCCGCTGGGGCCTGGGTTAAATTCAAGGAGCTGGCGTCACATGTGGCTTGAGCCTTATTGATTTTTGTCCTTGCGCAATAATTTTTTTCTGCGGTTTCTTTGGATTTTTTCTGCCTTCACAAAAACAAAATCTCAAAGTTCAAGTCGAACACAACAGTGGACGTTAAACCACCTTGTGGATGTGCTGCTGCTAAGATCCCATTCTAAAATTTACATCAAATTCATACTAATCATCAATCGAGTGACAAGCGCTCTGATTACTCCACCATACCTTAAATCCCGGTCCTCCTCGCCAAAGCTATCGAGGTAGACTGAGCCCCAGATACAGACCCGATCGGCTCTGATTATAATAATCACTGAAGAGAGCACGATCAGGAAGATCCCAGTCCCTCTCCCGCAATTCAAGGCATGCTAACAAATGAAAAGCATAAAATTAACAAAGTAATATAAATTCGGTCAAGAATGAAGTGTACAGGCGGAGTCACAAAAACAATACATGCCACACCCAAAGGGCTTAGACTGCTCAGAGGTCGTACATACTCTCGAAACGAGCCTCAAACTAGGCGATTAAACTGCCGAAAAATCAAGGAACAAGAACGGTTGACAACAGTTATTCGTCGTTACGTAAAGTAAGCAAAAGGTCTCTCTATTGATATCATAATAGCAAATCCTTGAGCTCGCGAGACAAAGAGACGAAACACGTGAGAACCGATAGTGAATGAAAGCTAGCGGTTGCGTAAAATCGGTGACAGAACCTCGTTTCTAACCTGTATGCATTCATACTTATCTGTTGTGCCTGTCCCGTCAACACAACAACTTCCTTGGAGACAATTGAATTTACCGCACACCAAACATACTGCAGGGTCATCTGGAGCGCTGCCACACTTGGTGCATTTCCGCTTCCGGTAATGCTGGATCAAACTATTTAGCAAGAGACAAAAGAACTTATATTCGTACTTTAGAAAGGAAGGAAGTACATTAAAGGTGTCGCATACAGGCTTTAGTTAGGGAACCCTGTTCCCTTCTTCTCCAAAACAGTAAACTCCTCAGATATAATTACTTGCTGTCCTAGAAGCCCTTGATATTTGGGTGGTGAGAAACCGAGTTTACCTCAGTTTGGTCACTTACCTGTCGTATCGCTCAGGTAGTTGAAGTAGTCTGGGTGGCGGCCACTGACTCAAGTTGGGAAGAAGTTCCTACAGATATAACAAGCAGTAAGTTTTGCTGTGTGAAAATACTCCGTCCACGCGAAACTGAATACAAACCTTGGTCTATCACCGCTAAATATATTCCCATCTCCACGTGGATATAACAACACAAAGTTTAATTATAATTCAATTTTGCTAATGAAAGCTATTGTCAAATACATCCTTGACGAATTTTATTCATCAATCAGCAAACTCACTCTGTTCAGCTTGGTCTTTCGCTGCGTGAAACACAGCAGCAGAGCATCACACCATCGTCGTATCACTTTCCGAGGCTTGGAATGAGGCCACTTTAGGCAATCTACACACGAGAAGGACTCGGTTCGACTATTACTAGATGGATCACATAAACCCAGGCTCGAGGCCAATGCACGGAATTCAGCATCAGTGTCCTAAAATAAATAATAATAATAAAATAAATAAATAAAATACGCTTCCTTGACTGGATTTGCTGTGTAAGGATACCAACTCCTTTATGAAATAAACTTTACTATACTCATAAAGGATCATCGAGGAAAGTAACTAAACAACAGGTCCAGTTGGTTAAAGGGCAGATAACGCTATCCAGCGCATAAATCGCCATCCAGCGAATGTGTGAAGAAAATACACTGCGCTATCTGCCAGAGAGCGTTATCAACCCTTTGAACAACCGGAACCAGGAGGATGAATATCGAAAGTAAAGATGTAATACAAGAAATCCCATGAAATTATTTGCAAAACTGGTTACAACCCAGAGAACTGGCCCCTGTTGTTCGAAGGTTGGAAAACGCTATTTAATGGATAAATCTGTATCCAGTGGATAACAGAGCGCGTTTTGTTAACATTTATCCGCTGAAGGGCGATTTATCCGTTAGATAGCGTGATCCGCTCTTTATACAACTAGGCCTCAGTGTAGATAGAGGAATGAAAACACACTTACCTGAACTTGCGGTACCTCCACACCAAAGCACAGGGCCGCCATCGCGTTTGCCGACCGCAAGAACCCCAAACACAAGTCTTGTAGGGAACGCTCCACAGTATGTGGGGACCATACCGACTGTGAGATCTACGAAGGAAAAAAAACAATTATCAATGAGAGGATGTTTATGAAGTTAAAAGCGAACTAACTTGGTGAATAAAATTACCTTACTTCTCAGTAACGTGAAACAACTAAGTAGGGTTTCATAAGAGACATTTCATTAGCTATAACGGGGGGGGGGGAGGGGAGGGTATGGATGTCTCTAAATCTTTAATACTTGTGTGGTGAGGAGGGAAGAGGCGACAGAGATAACTTACCCCTCCGGTGTGATGATCCTCCTTGATCAAGGTACTGGTACTGAGCATACGGCAAACATACCCCAATAAAAGATCGGCAGATAATTGGCCCTGAACAATTTCCTAAATGAAGATGAAAACAAAATAAATGATTAAACAATCTGGATTACTCGTAGATTGAAAGTGACCGGTCACCAGGCAGCTCTTTTTCCAAAATAAAACGGTTACAATTTTCTGGCCGAATTCGTTCTTTGCAACTGGGCTTTTAGTTGGGGAAAATCCCCCTTTTTATTCGTCCTCTGCCGATCTGTTGTTCATTTCCTCTTATCT